TTTCAACTACTATAAAAGGAGCTCATGGGCTTGGGTTTTAATCATCCCAATTGAAATACTTTAAGCCTGATATACTAGCTCTAGTTAACTGAGCGATATTTAACCATCATGGGATGGCTCAAGTGGTCAATGAGGGCCTTTGTAAATAGTAAAGGACTTAGAGGGAATGAGTTCAAACCATGGTGGCYACCTACCTAGGATTTAATATCCTACGAGTTACCTTGTCAATCAAATGTAGTAGGGTCAGGCGATTGACCCGTGATTAGTCGTGGTGCGCGCAAGCTGGCCCGGTCACACGTTAATTCTTGTGTTTCTTTATTTTATTGCTTTCTTTAAATTTCTCAGTTATTTTCTGCTTATTCCTGCGGTAGAAGTAGGAGATTTTTCCCAACACTYYGTTGATGGACAAATAACTTTTAGCTTCAGGTTCTTAGTCAAGTTAGAAGCAAAATGTCATTTTATAAAGTGTAAAGGAACTATAGTATTATTTTTTTTCCCTCGCAGTCCTTCGTTTAGCTGTGAAATATCTCTTTGGCAGATTTTTTTTTCAAGAGCGTTAAATAGAGACTATGGTTTGAAATATAAATCTTTCCAATCAATATATGTTTTATGGCAGGGAAAATAAGAGATTAGAGTATCCAGGGCGATCTTACACACATGCTCAATTTCAACCCACTAACAAGTGGAAGAGAAAAAGAACCGGAATGTGTCATCACTAGGGTACCACTTTCTCTCTTTTATTACTATATAATTTTATCAATGAGAGTAATGTGTAGTTTTGCCAAAGCGATCATAGCTCGGCGGTAAGTGACATATATCTCCAATCAAGAGGTTGTGAGTTCAATCTCTCACCCCCATTTGTTGTGTACTGAAAAAAAAAGTGTAGTTTTAGGAATATGCCATGCATGTTTTTCCTTTCCCCCCTGTTTTTACACTTTCCCTGGCTTCATTTGTTTTTTTTTTTTAAGTTTAATTTTATATTTGGATTTAGTTTCATTTTTACTTTGTGTTATACTTGGGATTTTAGATATGTTATTTTTCATTTGCTATGTCGTGCTTGCTTCCTTTTCTTTCCCTGTAACATTTTTCATGTATTCTTCATTTCTTTGATGTATTTTTTGCATGTTCATTTTTGTTATAGGATTTAGTTGCATTTTTATTTTTGTTAATTCATTTTCATAGGTTAAATAAAGAAAATAAATTTTAGTTGGAATATGATGGCTGATGTTTGACAGTAAATTCCTTAAKTTTAGGAAAATGATTAAGGTTGAGTTTGTATATTTTACTGTTCGTCTGACTTTGTTTTTTATCTCGTTACACTTTTGGGAACTCATTCTTATATATCTAGTTGTCTAGATACTTAGAGATTGTTTATGTCGATTATGAGAGTTTACTTCGATTTTGAAAGACTAAGTGCTTAGTAGTAGATGACCATAATAATTATTGAATAATTCATCAACTAAGACAMTTTAGACAATGTTTGAGTAACTTTTTTTTTTCCAGTTTTTATTTTTTAATTTAAGAGAGGTCAGGAAAAGTTTTGGAAAATGAACAAAACAAAGCGACCACCATTGTGACCAGTTCAATTCGCTCTTGAGTAATCTGAGTTACACACCTAGGAATAAGATTCTACAATGAATGTGATTCGAGAATATGTGTAAGCTACTGTTCTTAAAAAATTAAGATAAAAGATAAAAGAGAGTGAAAAGAGTAAAACAAAATAAAGAATGAAGATACAAATTTGGACCGGAAGAGCTACTACCATTGGGATAAGTTAAAGATACTCTTGAGTAACTGAGTTTGTGGATCATAGCACAATATCGGACTTCTACAGTATGAAATAAAAAAACATAAATAAATAAATAAAATTTCAGTGTATATTTGCTTTTTCTTACAATTATTTTTCATTACTTGAATCACATCTAACCTGAATAAAGGTCAACTTGAAAGTAGGTTTCTAGAGTTAATTAGAGGTAAGGTAGATCTTTTGTTTGCATAACCCTATCCAATTTGAAGAATAATAACGTAGAAAAGATTGAACACATATACATATGAAACTAATGAATCACCTCTTCAGACTTCCTTTTCAACATTAATCTCTCCTTCTTAAGCTCTCATGACAAGCCACCCTCCGTCTCCAATCTATCTAAAGCTTTCACCCTCATATGGCCTATCTGCAATTTACTTAGCTAATCGCTCCAAAACAGGGCACGAAAAAGAAGATAACCTTATCACTTTGAGAGGCCAAGAACTCTCCCTCATCGAGGATTATCTCCCTAAACCAAAAATACAAAATAGAATGTTCAGATTCCTAAAAAGCTTCCCTCACAACCTAATGCCGCGACCACCTAATACGAAAACTTGGGCCCACCCCTGTGCTTCCTTTTTCTTTCCGTCGTCATTTCTTTGGATTAAAACAAATTGTACGACTAGAGGGTGACGTTCCCATCAAATAAATAACAAAGTAAAAAAGATTGAACACATACGTATGAAATTTTTAATAGAGTGAAACTTGCTTGATGGTTAAGWTTTGAATTTATATATTACTTAATATTTATATTTGTTTTGTAATGTATAGAATCTCAATTTAGGCTAAAGTTTGATTATAATACTGACTTCTTTTGCCAACTTGAATACAAGGCATTGTATGTTTATCCTAAAGATTAGGCGTTTGAATCCCCACCCATATATCATTGAATAAAAAATAAAATGAGTGACCTCTTTTTTTGGTTGTCTTTAATGGTCTTTCTTTATGTTAATGTTACAGGACTAGTTATTGTTGATTAGTAGGACAGCAAACCATATGGGATTGTGTGAGCTCATTCGGTGGTCCTTTATCATGTCAAGTACTTAACTCTCCTRTTAGACCTCGAGTTGTCAATATTTACTCTAGGAGGGTAGGTTGGGAATTTCGCTTGTTAGTTAGTTAGGGGAGGGCTGTACGGCTGAGTGGGAGGGGAATTATAGGCAGGGATCCCCCTCGGGAGGAGGGCAGTTTGTTTTTGGTTAGGAGAAATAGCGAGAGCTATTGGGGAGAGAAACCAACCCTCTCGAATATGTTGGTCGACTGTAAGCCCATGGGGTTCCTTTGTTTTGAATATCAAGAATCGTAAGTGAGTTCCCTTATGAGCTCCTGGGGAAGTTGAGCAAGATGGCCCAGAAAAAATTGGAAGAGAGATGAGATGCAGCCGAAGCCGTGATGGCGAGTCTGAAGGAGTCAAACGCCATTCAGGGACAAGTTGAATCAAACCAGAAGATGCGGGAGAAGTTTATGGCTCAGATGGAGGCTCATCAGAAGTCCACAGTGAGATTCATGGTCGAGATCACCGAAGATAAGTCGTCTTTGCTTGTTTCGATAGTAGGAGAAACGATCGTCTTCCAAACATGGAGCGTCGAGCGAGCACCAAGTAGTTGAATCGATCGAACAGGGAGGGGATCAGAGCAAATTTAAGAAAGTCGAGATACCAATTTTCACATACTACAAGAAGATGATTGTAGCTGTTATTAGTTTCGTGGGAGTTGCTCTTGCGTGATACTGTTGGTGTGATAACCGTCAGAAATTCTTAGATTGGGATGATTTGAAGGTACATATGGATCAGAGTTATTCCGGCCACAGGGACAACTTCACCGCAGTACAACTTATCACCCTTAAACCAATGGCCAGTCGGAAAGGGTTAACCAGTGCCTCAAAGGTGCTTGTGCAGTGATTCCTCGAGGCAATGGGGACATTGGTTACCTTTGGCCGAATTCTGGTACAATACCACGTACCACCTTTTGGGGGGCACTACCCCGTTTCATATTGTATATGGTCGTGCACCTCCCTCATTAATTGGGTATGGAAGGCAAAAGACTGGCAATGCAACACTAGGTCAACAACTGGAAGAACGCGCTGAGGCTCTTGCTCGCATAAAGGAACATCTACGGGTGGCCCAGGATTGCATGAAGAAATTCGCTGATAAGATTAGGTGTGATCTGGAATTTGCAGCAGAGGACTGGGTGTTTCTGAAATTGCGGCCATATCGACGGAAAACAATGGCAAAACGTTGGAATGAGAAGCTAGCTCCCAAGTACTTTGATCCATTTGAAGTACTCCAGCGGGTGGGGAAGGTGGCCTACAAGCTAAAACTACCGGTTGGGTCGCTGATACATCCTATATTCCACGTTTCACCGCTCAAAAGAGCAGTGAGAGTATAGACTACTGTTCATCCACTCACGCCGTGGGTGACGACTAGTATGGGATGGCTTGCTGAGCTAGCTGAGGTGTTTGCCACCAGAACTAATGACAAGACTCAAAAGGAAGAAGCTTTAATTGCCTGGAAGAATCTAGCTGAAGAGGAAGCAACGTGGGAGGTTGTCGAGGACTTATATAAGCAATTCCCTGAATTTAGCCGATGGAACYTTGCTGATGCCCGCACCTTGGGAACAAGGTGGATCTGGAACAGGGGGCTATGTTAGACCTCCAGTCGTCAATACTTACTCTATGAGGGGTAGGTTGGGAATTTCGCTTATTAGTTAGTTAGGGGAGGATCGTACGACTGAGTGAGAGGGGAATTATAGGCGGGGATCCCCCTCGRGAAGAGGACAGTCTATTTTTTGTTAAGAGAAATAGCAAGAGCTATTGGGGAGAGAAACCAACCTCCTCGAATAGGTTGGCCGATGGTAAGCTTACGAGCGTTCTTTGTTTTGAATATCAAGAATCGTAAGGGAGTTCCCTTACATCTACTACATTGCATACCCTTCCGCGCCTTGTAAAAAAAGTGACTTATTAGAGAGTTAGTTGGTGGGTGCAGCTGAATGTTAGTAAATAAGTTTCATGTTAAACTATCTTTTCTAGTTCTTTTCGTTAAAGATGTTTGTTCGATAACTGAACTGAATTTGGTACTTGCTTTTGTTCTTAAGAAGAAAATGTCTTAATGTCATGTAATTGTTAATAGTTATATTTATTTAAAACTACAAAACTGTAGCCTATTTTCTCTAGTTATTTGGAATGTGCAAGTCCTACATTTCATGAAATTTGTTGGTGAAATACCTGGCAGGTGAATGCCACCTCATTTTGTCTTTAGTTCTGTCGGAGTATAAATAATCGAACGTTAAATAGATTTTGATGGCTTGTTATTTTCTTTCTATGATCTACCAATTTTGAACTGATTTTACACATCGATGACTAATAATTATGTCTACTTTTGTTAGCTCTTCAGACATTTAGTCATTTTATTGTGTTGCGTTTTTAAAGTTGGTAGTTCTTGACTTTTGAGCAAGAATGTTTACGGCCGTACATGAGATTTTGGAAGTGCAGAGGTCTTAACACTTCTTCATCCTTGATTTTATAATCTCTCTAGCTCACTCTTTATAAATTTTGAATTTTGATATATCTTCGATATCAATAGCCTGCCATTTTGTTTTTTGTTGTTTTTTTTTTCAGTTCTTAAAAATTGGTCTTTTGGATCATCAGCATAGATCCCTATCTTCGTTTTCTCTGTTTTTCAATAATATATTTGTTGTTGTGGCTGCTAGCGATCTTTTAAAAGTATTTGTGATTTGTGGAAGTAGTATTTATTTGAGTGAGAACAATGGATAGAATGACAGTAATGACATGCACCAATTTTCAATGGGCACTTTTGATCTACTTTTACTCTTTTATCTTTGAATTATTAGCTGCAATGTTTACTTTATGGTGTTGGCTCTTGTTTGCTTTTAGATATCTTTGATTGTAGATCTAGTGTCACTTGTCGGTGGACTAAGAAGCACGAACAGGACAGRGACACCACGATAGGTTCATTTAGTTTTTGCAAATATTTGATACAGCCACCCTCTTCTTGCTAGGCTATCCCTTGTCGGCAATCTTTCATGGCATACCCACCACATAAAAATCTTAATTTTACTGAGAACTTTCAACTTCCAGAATCCCTTCCACCAAGCCAATCTAAGCTAAAGGCGAAAACAAGTTATTCTCAAATTCTCCTTAAAATGAGATCACTATTTGACTTGTTGGGAGATAAGCAAACTCCACATCAACATACAACTTTAGTGGTTGGAAGCAAGTAAATTTGTTCTCGTGATGCTCCCTCGTTCTCAATAGTATTACAAGGACACGGAAACTTTTCAGAAGTCCTTTGCGTTTGCTACTATTTCGACTTAATTAGCTGCTCTCTCTATTCTTTAATTTCCCTTTTTGTTGCTGCTAAAGAATCTTGGGTGGGGACTTGTTTGAATGAGTATTTTTAGTGTGAAGAAAATCCAGTTGGTAGAGAATCACTTGCAAGGATGATGGAAACATTTCCCAACCCACAGTCCAAAAAGGTACGCGTTCTTAATCTTATTTTTTCAGATTTGCCAATAGTATTGCAAGGAGAAGGTAATTTATCCAACAAAGTAATTTGTGGTTGATGATTAATAGGGCAAGGGAAGTCCATGCCTTTTCTGATTTGTTTCTATTTTAACATTTATATAGAAAAAAAGGATACAGAAACTCTAATTTTTTCATAATTTTAAAGTTTAAATCAAATATTTAGCTGAAGAAGTTTGATAAGAATTCATGTTTTTTTTTGTAAGATTAAATCAACAAAACTTTAATAATAATTAAATTTTTATATTTAATTTTATTTTGGCCTTCTTAAATATCACAATTTAGAGCGTTAAGTATGTTTTCTTAATTTTAGAGCTTTGAGAATTGCTTGTGTAGAGTATAAGGGTTTGACTCGACTTAACTGGATCTTTTACAGACACATTTTGTTTTATTATTTTTTTCCCTCTTTTTAGTGTAAGTTTTTGTGTGGTTCTTGCACTAGGTCTGCGAATTGAGTTTGTTTTTGTGTGTAGTCCTTTTTTTTTTCCCTCTTTTTAAATGAACTAAAGACAATAATATTAAACAGAAAAAAAATCCAAATACATAAAGGTAACTAAAGGCCGAGTTCTTCAAAAACAGAAATTAATAGAACATTGAATAATAACTGAAAGAAAAAACACATGACATAGAAACAGAAAAAGATTAAAAATATCTGGGTACATAAAACGGTTAAAAAATAACATGATACATAAAAACAACAAAATATAAGAAGAGAGACTTAAAAAGAATATTATGAAGCAGAATATAAGAACATAAAAAATAAAAATAAAACGGAAACTTACAAAAACAATGTAAATAAAGCAGAATAAAAAAAAAAGGAGAGAGAGAGAGTATAAAGCCAGTTTGCTTTTATGAAAAAACATCAAAATATAAAATCCAAAAAGCAACCAATTTTAGTAAACATGAAAGTAAAGAGGAATATAGCGGCGAGGAATGAAATGAGAAAAATGATGTGGAGAGCAGAATGAGATGGTAAATTGTCAGAAGGAAAATGATGCGATAGCGAATCGAAAACATTAATGGAGTTTGGACACATTAGGTTAAAAATTAAAGTCAACTAATAGAATTTGAAGTGTAATAAATCTAAAAAGAGATCTTTTTCTTTAGTGGAATTTGAAAATCCTCTTGGAGGTAAGGGGTTCCTCCTATTGTTAATACTTACGGCAAGAAGGGTAAAAAAGKTAATTGGGATATGGATGCTATAAATTCTATGATATGGGATGGATTTGGTGCAAGAAACTCGTGGCTCTAACAGTTTACACATGTGGCGGCTATGTTCGAGTTACCTTGACATTGGAGGATTGAGATTACGCAAATTGTTGGCCCAGTCACTTTTGTTTATGCAAGATTTAGTCAAGATCATAACTAGTTGGACTCTAATTTTATTACAACAAAGGTYTACAACGTTGTAAAATATAACCCATTCGTCAAGGTTAATATTGCAAGAACTTTTAAAGAAAAAATWYGGCTATTCTATGGGGTATTCGAGAGTATGAGATGGACGAAGAAAAACCATTATGAACATATTTGGTGATTGGGATGAATCATAAAAGATACTACATGAGTTGATGAATATATTACAAATAACTAATCTTGGTACTATAGTTGATGGAGATACTACATGAGTTGATGAATATATTACAAGTAACTAATCTTGGTAMTGTAGTTGATGGGAATACTACATGAGTTGATGAATATATTACAAATAACTAATCTTGGTACCGTAGTTGATGGGGATAGAGGATACTAGTAAAACTGTATTTCAACGTGTTTCCTGAGCTTTTGGATATGTAATACAAGGTTTTCAAGCATTATAGACCCTTACTTCAAATCGATGGAATGCATTTATATGAGAAGTCTTAAGGGAAAATTGTTAACAATAACATATGTCGATGCTAACGGTCACATTTACTCTATTGCATATGTCATTATCCCATAAGAAAGAGCTCATAATGTGATAGGAAAGAGAAAGAGTATATGCTCGATTACTAATAGACGCGAAGACATTATTTTTAATTTAACCAGGGATCAAATTAAAAATAACGTTGTAGATATGATCCACATGACAAGATAGCGGCTTCACAATCGTTTTTTTTTTCATCCCATCAAGAGTGAACTCTTTGTCTATGTACAGAGGAGAAACATGTGTAAATCGAAAGAAAATTTGTGTGGTCTTGAAAATTTAATCCCATCAAGCCGCTTTCAACCATGAATTTAGATATGCTTCAACTTCTTGAGTTTAATTATTTTGAATTGGGATGTGAAATCTTTGGCTCTTTATTTTTGTTTTTATCTATTTATTTGTTTATTTCAGATCACAAAGTAAAGAAAAAAACAGACAAAATTAAAAAAAGAACAAAAGACCCTTCTTCTTCATATAAGACAGAGGCCCTAAATCATCGCTCAAAATACTCTCCATTACTGTGGGTGCTTCCTCCAACTACAATATCTTCATCCACTGCTATTTTTGCAGTTTCGTGAGCCGCATGGTTACTATCTCTTCGGCAATAGGTGAATTCCACTTCTTTCAAAGCTTTCGAGAGATTGATAATTTCTTGGACAATCATTATGGAAGGTGAGATTTATAATTTGGCTTGGTAGTTGCGAAAAATAAGATTATTTTTTCATTGGGTAAAGACTTTGACCAGTTTTAAATTTATAAGGTTTAAAGATCTAGCCTAAACTGATGGGTTGGATAAATTTAATTCATTTATATGATTCAATAAGTGGAAATCATAATAAAAGGAGAGGAAACAACAAGACAGAGGTTCGAATACAGGACCTCCTTCTCTGATACCATCTTAAGAATGAATAAGCCACCACTCAATCCAAAAACCTAAACTGATGGGTTGGGTAAATTTAATTAATCTATATAGATTCCAACAAAGGAATTTTTAGATGTGAAATCGCCACCAAACCCCTTTAAAAAAACCCCCAAATCACTCAAACTCACACAGCCGGAAGAAAGCTTCCCTCGCCGAAGCCACTTATACTAATTCCCTTTTTGTTTTTTAAATCATTACCCAGGGTAAGGTTAGTGTACTCATAATGCGTTATTTGATTCTATAAAATGCTCATATCATATGTTGTTGATCTCCATTGTTAACATTTTGCCGATCCAGTTCCACACCAATGATACACTCCTTTCAAACTAAAAATAATTTGTGCCCCTTTTTTTAATCACATTTTGCAGGATGTTTCTCCCCTAATGATGTGATTCCCTCTTTGGACGCCGACCAATTCTGCAAAAATAACAAAAGAACAAGATATTAACTAATAGAAATTTTGGAATAATGAACACTGCAAGTTATCTTGTGATGTCAAGATAAAAAAATAATAATGGCATGCGAGACATTGTGAGATGAAACCTACCACAACAATGTAAATCAAACCTAAATCATCAACAACAAAGAAAATTACAAAAGAAAACTCAAATAAATGACAAAAAAGGAAAAAATAGAAGTTACTGAGTAGAAAAACTGAAAATAGATAACAAAAAACGTAAAACATTACTATGAACAAGTGAGAAAGATGTATTTAGATACGATAACTCAAAGGGCTGGAAGTTTAAGGAGATGGAGGTGTGTGATATTGGGAAAAAATAGTTGCTTCAAAAAATGAGGTTGAGATTGAGATTGATGATTTTGGGTGCAGTTCTATGTATTTTCCCCCTTAAAATGTCGTAAAAATTTATAAACTAAAAAGCGGTCTGGCAAATGTTTAGCCACTTAAAATTTGTCCTATATTTGGCAATCACCCTAAATTTATGGGTTTTAACTTTTCGTACAGAGTTGATTGGTGACAGAAGGGTGCATGTGGTGTGTTGTTGAAATGGGTGGGCGTATCTAGGAGTAATTTTTAGCAAAAAGTCTGTAGAAAGTAGTGAGCGGATGAATGATGAATGRTGAATGTGTGGGAAAACATAAATTTAGGAATTACAATTGCAATTGCTTTTGGGGGATTGTTGGGGGAGAAAACTAGAAAGGTATAGAGGGACTTGGTTTTATTGTTGTTTATAAAAGAGATTARATATTGAAAGTGAGAAAATGAGATAATGAAAAAGTTTGATGATGATTGAGAATGTAATGATGAGAGTAGCAGTAGCAGCAGTATCAGTATCTGAATTCCAACCTTTTTTGTTGTCACCTTCCGCTGCGCTGCTACACAAACACAGATTGGGCCGCTCCCTTAGTTTCACTGGAAGACAAATTTTAAAAGGAATTTAGCTTTTGGAACTGCCAATTGCCAACCCAACCCCACTTCTCCAGCATAATCATTCTCTCCCACAACTCACAACTCACTACCACTATCTCTATTGTCCTTCCCATCCCTTTTTCACCACCAAATAATTCTTCATCTACTTTTTTTATTTTTTTACTTTCTTCCAAACTCCAATACCTACTAATACAATCACCAAACATTAACTTGTAACCATGTCAAACATTAATTGCAAGCTTCATGTGATGCTGTCAAAACAAAACCCATCCCCTTGAATCATTGTTATTTTTATTTATTCAATACGAAGCCCTCTCAGTGTCACAGTCACAGGCAAGTGGGATGTTCCCCAGTAATATTGTTGGTGAAACGTTTTTTTATTTTTTATTTTGATTTTTTAGCCTGGCTTGTGAGACTAATGATTATTGCATTGACTTTAGACATGTTCACCTGCCACGACTGATGCCCCCAACAAATATTTTCCCCTTTCCCTCTTTCCAATTGATAGGATTTAGGATTTAGCTGCTATCCTTCCGGTTTCAATGTTACTTAAACAAATTAGAGGTTTGACTATTAGCTCTATGGAAAAGGGCCAGAGGGGCCGGGGGGTGTCACAGTTTGTCCCACATGGGCACTTTCCCGAGCTCAGCTCAGGTTTGAATACAAGATACAAGAATATCCTGTTGTGGTTTTATGAAAGAGAGGCGGACGAAGACTAAATGCTAATATATCAATATTTATGGGATTCAATCTCAAAATTAATTGGCAATGAGAAGAGAGTAGTCAATGTCTAAAAGGTCCATTCTTTTTTCGATGTGAGATCTTTAACATGTCTTTTCAAGATCGTGACTCTTTTGACTCATCTATTTTGATCGGATCCCATTTTCGAAACGGATGCTTGTTTGAGTGTTTTGAGCTCTGATGAATAGCCTATGTCTATAAATTATTTTAAGATCTCTTCTACTTCTAATGCAGGTCTTTGTAAAGTCTCATCTCTTTTGAATAAAGGATCTTTAATATAATAGACTCATTTGCGTTGGTTCTGCCAAGGGCCCTGCCCTTATTTTTGTTTTTAATTTATTTATTTCTTGGAGCAGGGGCAGTCGTGCTCCAATAATACAGTGGAGGTGGATGGATTGATGGATATATCATATATTCCTGTATGGTGTATCCTACAGGCTACAGTACACTCTCATCTTATGGGCAGTCACGAGTGGGACTCCACTATTCTCATTTCTCTCTAATTACTTCTCTTCCTTTCTCCACTCTCTGACTACACAGAATATTTATTATTCTCTCACTCTCTCTCTCTTCAACAACATTACATGTAAAACAAAAACTGATGCCTCCTGCCTGCCTACACCATATTTCTGTGCACAACGCTAACATTTCATTTCAATTTCATCCACTTTTTAACAGAAAATACTACATTTACAACTCTCACATTTCTCTCCTCTCTCTCTCTCTCTCTCTCTCTCTCTCTCTCTCTCTCTCTCTCTCTCCTCAACTCAAACAAAAACCCACAAGAAAAAAAGCCAGAAAATTCATTATTATTCTTTTCTGTTTCTTTTTTACAGAATGGGAAGGGAACAACTATAGCTACAAACTAATTAAAACCTCCTTCATTGGATTTTGGACCACAGCCACAGTAGAAGCAGAACAAAATCTTCTTCTTACTTGTTAATCGCCTGCGCCTGCGGTGGCTCGATCTTGTGCTCTGAGTATAATAGTCCGGCGCACGCAGTGGGTTGGGTTTTTGGTTTAATTTAATTAATATATTTATTATTATTATTGTACATATGGGCGGTAATTAATAGATTAAAAAGAGCAGCTCAGGAGGGATAGACAAGGAAGGAGAAGATGAGTTGGGTGGAAATAGGGATAGATTGTACTCAAACTCTACATGGGTCACTCCCAAAATAGAGCATGAAATCAAATGGAAGGTAGAGGGAAGGGGTATACTATTGGGTCTTACAAGGTCAAGAAAAGGTCTTACAAGGTCAAGAAGACTGGACCAAATTAAAAAACAAAAACATTAAAACAATAAAAGCTCAGATAGGATAGGGCCAGGCTAGGAACAATCAGTGGGCAAGAAGGATGCGGGAATTAATGAAAAACAACCCACCCCATGGAGAAATTTCAGGTCCTCCGTCGGCCACTGCCACGGCGGTTGGCTTGCTTGATCCATGCATGTGATGCCGATGTGCCGAGATGCAACCAATCTGACTTTGCCTGCAAATTAATTACACAAAAATCCACCAATTGAGGAATATAATCAGAATCCGAATAAGATGATGGTGATGATGATAAGGAATTGAAGATGAAATTAGTGTAGAGAGTAAAGAGAAAGTTGACCTTAGGGGAGAATGGAATTGGAAAGATGGTTGGATGAGAGAGAGAGAGAGAGAGAGAAGTGGTTTGGGTGTGTGTTGTGGGAGTGAGAGAAATGAGAGGGGGATTATATGGACCCAACCAAGGGCGGAATGCAATGGGCCTGACACCCAAAGGCCCAGAAATAATAAAGGCCCTCGCTGACATCACCCGCCCTGCCCAACCTGAACTTCAGAATATTTGTTAAATCGGTAAAGTGTATAAACAAAGACTCACGTTAATTATGGAAAATGGTGATCTATGGTATGTAGATAAAGATAATTATCTGATATGAGACTTTTGGAAAATTAAAAGTGAGTTATGTTCAAAGTAGACAATATCATATCATCCCATTGTGAAGATATTTAATATCCCATTTCATGCCTGAACACTAAACCTAAACATGCCCAAATTGTGATTTTTCAAAATACATTTTAGTTTAATTAATTGATTAATTAATATTGTGTTGGGGAGGTCGTGGCCGTTCTCACAGTCTTCGAAGCTTGGGGCTGGGTCAAAGTCAAACAAACACACACAGCCGATCCTTATTTTCCTTGGTCTGCGTTCTTCTTACTTTTTTTAAAACACTAATTAAATTTTTTTAAAAAAAAGGCATCTTTAATTTGAACCGTGCCACCCCACCACGTAGCATTATTTAAGATTTTAAACACAAGGCTACAAATTACAATACCACAATATATCTCGGTTTTCTCTCGGCCGCGCTGTGCACTCAATTTTAAACTCCAAGATGCCCTTTTGATTTTATTATTAGTAATCTAAGTGTTAGTGTTAGAAAATAAAAGGCAGGTCTGATTTTGGAAACTCCACAGTCTGTTAGCGTTAGCGTTAGCGTTAGTGTTTGGTTGGTGGAAAATGGGGCCCACCAAATTTAAAAACGGCGCCGTTTCAATTGTGGAAGAAGAGAAGATGAGGAGGAACAGTTGAGTTGATAGGATTATTGAAGATGGAAGTGACGGATGAATGAATAATGAGAATGGAATGGCAATTGGGAAAGGGAAACTGGAAGTGATGGGTGAATTGAGGGAAGGAGTTTTCAGAAACAAAAGAAAAAAAATGTTGACCAAATGAGGAAACCAATAATGTTGGCAATGGAGAAAGAAATTGAGACTTGAAAGGGAAATGGCATACCACGAATCGTACCCTTTGATTCCTCTCCTGTCTTTTGTGCCTTCGGCTGTCTTCTCCTCTCTTCTCAATAGGCCCATTCGCCTAAGCCCATTGTGTTTCGGTCGCACCCCATCTTCTCCTAGGGCCGAGTAATGGCAAAATAAAAAAATAAAATAAGTTACCAACCATACTATTCAAGATGACAGTTGCAAATATGGTTTAGTTTTTTCCGGAGAGAAGTCCAAATTTAAAATGACAACTTTACCCAAATGTACATATATCTTACCACTCATACAGATAAATGTATACATCATCTCCCAGTGTAATGTTCCTATTTAAAAGACAAACTAATACTTTGTTTAGATTTAATTATTGAAAATTATATATTTGAGAAAAATATTGATTAAATTTTTTGTACTGTGGATTTAGAAAAATTGTCCCAAGGAATAGCTTGGATGGCTTGGGGTGATAGGCGTGGATTTAAATAAGCGTTTTAATTTATATAAAAAAAAGATTCTAACCATATTTTTCACCACTCGTTTTTACGGAAGATTCAAATAGTTTCTCAATCCATAGTTATAATAAGAATTTTCGTTAAATTAAAATAAAAAAAATATTTAAACCATAAAGCCATTGTTGAAAATGATACTACAAAAATCATTAAAATATATAATAAACAAAATATAATTAGAAGACATCCTGAGAACCTAGCAATACAAACAATGCATTTTTGTGTACTGAAAAGTAGAACAATTAATACAAAAATATAAAGACATATGCTCTACCTTGAACGAAGAAACCGACAATTCCATATTTCTGCTTTGCTCCCCTTCCTTGACAAAACCTAGCTTTCTGTCTCCTTGTGCACACTCCATCGTCGACCTCTCTCCCTCCCTCACCTACGAGGAGTTTGCTCCCTCTCTCGATACTTCAGTCTCTTATCTCTCCCTTAGTTGACCCGGCTACAATTGTCTCCCTCTATGCTGTGTCTCCTTAAATACGGTGAATTTTGTTTATATATCTATATCAAGCAGTTTATGCTGTGTCTCCTTAAATACGGTGAGTTTTGTTTATATACGTGTATCAAGCAGTTTATTAAAACTTAGGTGGACTTTGCTTCACAGTTTTATAAACCCCAGTTTCCTACCGTAAATACTATTTCACCCCTATTTACTACAGTAAATACTATTTTATTCCCCATGTTACTACAGTATTTTATCATACTTCCCAAATTGTTACCGTGTATATTTTGTCTTTATTATATCTTTTAAAATACATTAAATTATTAATTAAATATATTAAATAAATGAATAAATTATAATTTTAATTATAAATAAGTAAATCAATTTAATTAAAATTACACGTAATACGTAATTAATTTATATATCGACAATTTTTTCTCTGACTTTTTTTTCAAATGATTCAAGAAAAATCTTCCTTTTTTTCGTCTTGGTATCTATTTATAGTTGTTGCACTATCACATTTGTAAACACGTTATAATTTTGTATAACTATTTATTTTAATTTTATATCTTTTTTTTTTTTTTAACTTATGAAGTTAATAGTTTTTAAACCATTATTATTTACAGAATTTTCACTTTGTAATAAAGTGTATGTTTCAAATAAAAATAAGTGCAATTTAATAGTAATGTTGATGATAATTAAGCGATCAATTTTTTTCTAGAATAATTAAGTAATCAAATTTACTTAAGATAGTAAATAGTGAAAAATTAAATAAATTGTTGATAACATTTTATCTACGATAAATTATGTGTAATAAATTTGTATACTCTTATTTAAACTTTGATAAATACTTCAGAAGTATTTTCATAGATAATTAAATATTTATTTTAAAAATTAATCATTGGAAAAAAAATTGGATGGACAAATATATTAAAAATATTTTATATATCCTTAAAATAATATTTCCTAATTTCATAAGAAAATTGAATTATTTACAATAAAGTCAAATAATTTAAATGTAACTTAAATTATTTTAATTAAATAATTAGTTTATAAATTATACTTTTTTAAGAAGAATTAATACTCAACCAATCCAAGTTTAATAAATTCAGTTTAATAAAATACAAAGCAAGGAACCAGAGGCCCTTAAAATTGTTTGACCGATTTTGGCAATAACGTGCGTAAAAATATTACTGTATTTTAGATAATCATGAAAATATTTTAGAATGTGATGCAAAGTAAGTAAGCGACAATGCATCAGATGAGATCAAGATCAACATCGGAACTGGACAATAAAACTGAAATCAAGTCAAAACGAAGCTGAATCGTGGAAGATAAGCGATGGCCAGTTTGCTGAAGCCTCCGCATCGGCATCCGCATTCCATACTCGATCAATCACAAAGATATCCCAACTTCAAGCGCCCCATAACTCTGTTTGGATGTCAACCCCGCCATCAATTCATTCGGAGCAGCCGAATCAAGTGCAGTTATGAAGATTCTGCCAACCAACAGCAACCTCCTCGTTCTACTTCTACTGCTTTGCAACTCTACTCCGATATCGAGAGGTTTCCATCTTTCTTTCCCATCTTCTGGATCCCGGCTTGATTTNGAAGTTAATAGTTTCTAAACAAGTATCATTTAAAAGGTTTTCTTTCGGGAAGACATGACACAAGACGATTTCACATATCGATGTCGGAATGAGATCGGGTGTTTTACGATTCACCGTAGTGCCCGGTTTGTCTTGATTCCGATTGGTGAACAAGAAGGAAAAGAGAACTATTGGATTTTTTGACTCGCTCCCGGCTACATGTCCTTTGGACCCTTCGCCTGCCACCCGTGGAAGCAAGATAGCCCCCTATGTTGGTTACCCCTCTCCCCTTTGAATAATAATAAAGTCAGTATTCAAGCCTAGCAAGAAGATGCCCCCTATGTTAAAATTTATGTAAGATGAATTTGTATACTCTTGTTTAGATTTTTATTTGCTTGAAAAGTATTTTCATAGATAATTGAATATTTATTTTAAAATCAATCATTTGAAAAAAAAATGGGTGGATAAATGTATTAAAAATATTTTAGATATTCTTAAAATTTTCTAATTTCATAAACACAGTAAAATAATTTAAATGTTTATAAATTATATTTTCTCAAAAGAAAAGTAAAACTCAACCAACCAAACACAAGTTTAATAAAACCAGTTTAACAAAATACAAACTTAACAAACTCAAACTTAATACAAAAACTCAGACTTAATAAACTTATTTCATGCATCAACCAAACACAAAGACTTAACAAATTAATACTTAACAAACTTAGATTTAACAAATGCACGACATCAAACCAAACATCCCCTTATAGATTTATCAAAAAAAAAAAACATCGATGAGATATAATTTATCAAAAAACAAATAAACAAATTTAAGTTATAATCTAGAGGAGGCAGTAAAAGTTATAATGTTTTGAATTTAAAAATAATAACTAAATAAGAAGGACAAAAGGAAAAATCTAAATAAATATTTGTTATTATCAAAGATAATTAACCTATGTATTTTTCAGCATCTCATAGGATCGAGAGGTTGTCTCATTAAATGAGTTGAAAGGTGGCCAAACTGACCAAAACACTCACGAAATTAAAGAAAAAAAAATCACGAGTAAAACAAAACTTGAACAATACTTGGAGAAACAAACTTAAAAAGAACAAAAAAGAAAACAGGTAGAAGGAGAGTGAGAGTTGCATTCACGACTCATTTTGTTGGTGACACGTGGACAGAGCATAGCCAGCAGTGCAGTAGCCTCCAAAATTCTATCCGTCTATGGCTTTTTCTCTTTGCTCTCCACTCTCCACTGGTTGATTGCCATGACGCTTGTTGCTCTGTTCGTCTCCGTCACGAAATTGGCCGGCGTCTTGGTTACGCTCACCGTCGCCGCCAATGCCTTCTCCTTCGCGCGCTTCAGGAGGAAGAATCTCCGCCCCTTCCG